AAGAGGTACCATTATTCATCATAACCAAAGACTTAGAATGCTTTGTTTGGTCACTTTATACATGTACCCATAGGCGGAGTAAGAGAACGAATAATGCATTTTAACTAATCAGTAATATTCAGCATTAATCAGTAGTGCCTCCAACTCACAGTGACCCTTGACCCTGAGTCCACACATTTCACAATTTCGGAAAAAGCCCCCTTGCCCATCAAATGTTTGATTAAAACCAAGGAGGAGATTTCAAAACATAAAGGTACATTGTACCTTGAAATTTATTATTATGTAAGAAGGACCCTTGCTCATCATACATGTAACTTCATAGGTAGTTCATCAGGCCTGGGGGCCATAAAACTTAGACGAGCTCACTTTTGATCTAAGTCTCACTTTTCCACTATATATTTCTTTGATAAAATTGAGACTGAGATCAAAAGTGAGCTCGTCTCAGTTTTATGACCCCAAAGCCTAGCATCTGCTTAATGCTACATGTAGGGCCCATTTTACAAAACAACTTACGACTAAAACCTAAAACTTCAGTTGATTGTACACTTTTGCAAAATTAATCATTGTGTTTAAAATTGCTAATGTAAAGATATTTTACAATATTCCATTTAAAGAGATAAAAACTATTTTCAAGATACTGGAGTATTTTAATACAAAGTTATATAAAGACTCGAATTTTGGTCTTAAGTCGTAAGTTCCTTCATAAAACGGCCCCCAGGAGGAGCAGAGATTTTCAAAGAATTTTAAAATGTATTTTCATTATATAGTCAATAGAGCCTCGCCCTAACACCAGAACCCCTGACCATGGGGCCATAAAATTCACAATTTTGGAAGAGGCACTTTTGGTCATCATAACTATGTACTTGGTTAGTTTATTTAATACATGTACTCAGGAGCATAGACGAAGATTTTCAAAGAACCTGGAGCCTCGAGATTAAACATTTTTGAATAGCTCCCTTCCTCATCGAAGCGATATAGGTAGGTCATCTGCTTAAAACCCAAGAACAGAAAAGATTTTCAAAGAATTAATACATACTAACTATATGATTAATAGAGCCCAGTCTTTACACCAGAATCCCTGATCCTGGGCCATGAAATTAACAATATTCGAAGGGGTACTTAGTACCCTTCCTCATCATAACCTATGTATATAGTTAATTTGTTTGATACCCAGAAACAGAAAAGATTTTAGAAGAACTGAGCAGTCCGTATTTTCTTAGTTCCAATGAAAATCTAGATAGTATAGGGAGTATTCATTATTTCTTGTTGTAAGAAATACAAATAGGTGATATTACCTATTTGAATTGGTGATATCGCCAATTCCAACTGAATAGGTGATATGACTGATATCACTTATTCAGCACAAATAGGTGATATCACCTATTCATTTCCTATAGGTGATATCACCAATTCGAAAAGTTCATTTCACCTATTCAAATAGATGATATCACCTATTCCATTTGAATGAGAATGGAATTATATCACCTATTCAAAAAGGTGATATCACTTTTTGGCAGTTCTCGTAAATACAAAACAGCGTCTCATAATTACCTTCCAATTGAGTTCAAAAGGCTTTTTGAAAGGATTATGGATTGTGTTAACACTTCTGGACAATTAAGTCGATTGGGAAAAGTTGTGGTATTGCTGACAATCTATACTCTTTAATTTATAAATACAAACGTTTAAAAAAATAATTTCAAGATTGATACAAATGTAGTACATGCAAGCGTTTTTTCTTTTAAAAGTCACAATTTCTGTAAGAAATTTGATTTTTTGTGGCAAAATTCTACTGTACCTACATGTAATGTGGTTTCCAAGTTTGTTAATAAAGGTAATTTTAACTCAAAGGCTTTTATGTTTAATTTTTTGTTTTCTTTTATGAATATGGATTCCTGACCCATTCATCACTAAGAAAAAGTGAATGGCCATATAGAAGGCAAAAAAGTGTGTTTTTCACCCGTGTACAAATACTTTTAAACATTTCAAATTCTTATTTCATGATATCGTCGATCCTTCAACAGTGCCAGACCGTGCCAACAAGCTGAATACCGCGAATTAGCGCGATATGATAACAAGGGATGCTACAAGACCGACAGCATCCAAAAATAAGAGTTCAATACTTACATTTTCCAAAGAGCTTTCATCATTCTATATACACTTCAGAACTGTATGGGGGAAATGACGAATTAATTCGAAACGTAGAAATGTTATATTTTTACGATAATTTAATAGGGCTATTGATTCTAATTAAATTGAGTCAAAACAATACACAATTTGGTGTTCATCGAGTACTGAAAATGCATATTTCTTGTTAGCTGCAGAACTGTAGCTCTCCGAAAAATAGATATTGACAGACCGGAGAGCTACAGTGCCACTCATTGTAAAAACTGTATATTTATTGCGCATAAAAAAAGTGCGCTCGGTTATGGATTAATTCTTCCTAATTCTTACCTCAATTGCGAAAGAGTTTAATTTCAAGAAATTCTTTATTCCTCTATCAAGTAATCTCGTAGTTGACATCTGCACGATCCGCGTTGGACCGATTATCTTGCTAACCAAAATGGCAGTATAAATAGACCAAATTTTCGATTATTTCAATATCAGGGGCAGGAGGTCTATCAACAACAATTATAAGGGATGCTTTGTGGTGGAAACAGTGAAAGAATATGTTAGGAACACATGGTTAGTAATAATTTGAGATGAACGCTTTAAAAATATGGAGAAATAAATCGAGAAACAGCGCACTTTTTTGTTCGCAATAAATATACAGTTTTTTTCAATGGGTGGCACTGTAGCTCTCCGGTCTGTCAATATATATTTTTCGGAGAGCTACAGTTCTGCAGCTAATTTCTTGTATGCAATTGTTCAGTGGGCCAAGGACAATAATATTTGACGGAACTGTTGTCAAAACAAACTTCAAATAAAAAAACTGCGTCCTTCCTGTGTAATCTATTGATTATATCAAACTTAACTTCTTTAGGAACTTTCAGCTTTATTCTAATAATAACTCACCATTTATATTTGTATTATATGTACTGGTTTTTTTTTTTTGTTTACAGTTTACAGTTCAATACCATTTAATGTAAAAAATTATGCGTTTAATCTATGCGTTTAAACCAAATTTTATTCAAACACTACTACATAATCCTTATTTAACGATACTGGGAAAAGGTGACGGCCCTTCAATGAAAATTTTTGAGATTTAATCTCAAAATCACAGGTGCTTGAGGAGAGGATCCCCCCCCCCTTTTTTTCGATATAGATCGCGGGCCTTTTCGACTATTTTCTGTATAGATTAGATACTAGTTTATATGGATGACACATTTGTGATATAATCTATTCCATCAATTCAGAAAATTTGCTTAAACATAAAAAAAATATAATGTTGATTAATATTGAGGAATTAGGGTATAGATGTTGTAAACTGTTTGTTTTACTATTAATTACTTAAGGTACTTTTTCCTCAGCCAAGAAGGATAACTTTTAATTAATGATTAAATTCAAAGAATCTCAAAATGAAGCTTTACCCCATAAAAGTATTTCAAAATTAAGTATTTAAAGAAATTGACTTTGTTTTGATCTAACCACAGCTAGATACCAATGTTTATATTAACATTATGAATGATGTGAACATAGAGGTGATTTAGGGTTTTTTACAATAATAGAAAAATTTATGCACTATACATTGTAAAATGATCAAAATAAATAGAAGAAACTAAATTACATTATATATATAGAAACAAGAAAACATTGATGTAACCATCAATTGTCGCCCGGGAAATATATAAAGTAAACAATGAAAATGAGTCTTGATCATCAAACCGCTTCGATATGTGTGAAAAGGCATGCGTCCATTTGATTTCTAGTAACTGATGAAGACGATTTCTGTCGCGAATATTTTTCAGAAAACTGTAGTCGGATAAAAATCAATCAAAAACGATACCATTTTAAACATGATCAATTCCTCGAGTAAATGTTGGCTGCATGTAATATAAATTGAAGTTAGACACACGCATCACCTATATTCAAAAATGTATTAATTTTCAATTTTAGAATATAAAACACGAACTGTGCAGAATACGTTTTTATCCGAGAAGTAAAATTCGATGTTCTAAAAAAAGGGACCTGTCGTTTTTTTCGATAGTAAATGATAAGCAACTTTATTTATTAAATATGAAAAACATATATATTTTTACAGATTCACTTTTTGGAAGTAAATATATTATGTATCTCGTAATTTATAAACGGAAAGAACATTCTGATTAACAATCTTTTCAATGTTTAGAAAACCTTTAATTCTAAATAACTACTCCCACCCCAATTCCCATACACTAACAGTTAAACTTATATGTATAGAGCAGCCCGGTCCTCCGGGCTGCAATTATACATTTTTTTTTTCAAAAGCCTGGATATACCGGTATGGTTTTATTTCTAAAATACGTTTGTTGATCAAATTTGAATTGGAAAATCCATAGCAGGTGTTTTTATTCGCATTTCCTTAAAACTTACTTCAGATTTACTATTTTTCCCTATATAATATGATTAACTTTCAAGATGACGTTTGAAGTATTACCATGGGTAAAAACAAATTACTTTGAGAATTTCAAGATGGTGTTTGAAGTATTACCATGGGTAAAAACAAATTACTTTGAGAATTCAGAGACATTCAATTAGTCAATGCCTGATTTATAGAACCTGAGGATCGGGGTATCTTAAGGTAATTTGTTGAATTTTTGGTATAGATTTTCTCACAAATATGTCATTGAAAGATATTTATGAGAAAAAAAAAGTAGAAAAGGCCCAGGACCTATATTAAAAGAAGGGGAGCTGTCCTAAAGCACCTGTGGCAAGAATAGCTACATACTGTATGCATGCAAATCCAATAAATCTGACCAAAAAGCAATTAAAAACTTTTTGCATATCAATTCAGAGTCTATATTTGTCGTTATGGGATTTCAGTTTACCTATTACTGTTCTGTACCATGATCATTTTTACTTACATGAAAGAAGAGGAATCAAGTCACCATGGTCCATGTACAGAGAGCAATTGTCTGACGCATGCGCCATCTTCTTCGATCATATGACTCCAACTATTTCCTTCTTCACCATTTTATTACATAATATTATTTCTCCATTCATTTTTTTTTTTACAAAAAAGTTTTGATTTTGTAGAGGGGACTCAATATCTGCAAGTCTAATGGCAATTTTATTTTACAAACAAATAAATCAAAATACCAGAGAAATCAAAGAACTGTGTGCATCCATTTTCAGTGTCTAAGTAGTTGGAGTACAATTATTTATGGCATATTCAAACAGCCCTGTCTGTGTTCTCTGTCTTTTCTGTCCATTATACCAAAAAGATATATTTTTACCGCAGACTTGAAGATATAAAACAGATCATCATTTATTTTTTAACTGCTGCGTTCTCACGAAGTGTTGGTGGGTTATCTTTAAAGTAGCTCTAAACACTACACACTAATTAAAGAGTTCTTATTGTAGGGTACTTTATGCTATTAGAGTGATCAGTGCTTAGAGGTGAGAAAGATAATATGTTTTAAGGTTAATTATACAAGTTGTAATGGACTCAAATATGCTTTTAAAGCATTATATTAGACCAAGAATAAAAAATTGAATTCATTAGTACTATTTCAATTTTTCCAATGTAAGTAAAGTGCCTCTGTTCACGTACGAGGGTCATTCAAAAATACGTAGACAATGCTCCTCATCGTCATATTAATATTATTTAAAGATTAAAGATCAACACATTTTCGTAAATAAAAACATTTATTTTGTCGAATTGTGATGTTTCATTCCATTTGATTGAATAGAGCTAATGTTAGCCAATTTCTGCTGTTTGTTTGTTTGTTTATTCAGGAAATGGCACATGTCATATATGTAGCATAAGATAGACACATAGGAACATAATTGGCACATGGAATCCAAAGAAATCATAAGATTTCGTAAAAAATACAATTGTAATAAAACACTAGCATTATATCATAAAAAACAAGTACTTAAGAAAAACATTTAATTCAGTATATCTAAAAGAGAATGGCGGGTAACTATATAATTTTTGTACTAAGTATAGCCATTTACCCGAGGATGACCCATGAAAGCAATAATGTGCTTATTTCCAATGGGGTCCTCATAGATTGTAATAGTAATTAACCTACTTAGCACTAAATGCTACGATATAAATAAGAATAAATAAATAAAACATAAATAAACAAGACAATATGTATGTTTTAAGAAGCTAATAGAATAAAAACTCATTTTCAGATATTGACCGCATTTTAAATAAAAGGTGTTTTTTAAAATTCTTTTCTGAAAAGAGCTTTGTTTTTGATAGATTTTATCTCATGTGGAAGTGAATTCCACTCCTTGATACCATTATAATAGAAAGTATCCGACTGTTCTAAATTGTTGATAATTTTCTTTTTAAATATGAAGATATATTCAAATATTTTGACTCAAATTATTTGAATCTGTTGTTAAAATATATGTACCAAATTGGGATATATGTCGTTAAAGAAAAAAAGTCGAAAAAAGTAGACGAACTTCTTGAATGACCCTCGTATAGTTCATTGTCTATAAAGATTTTTTGGAGGAATTAAAGCAGGTATACCCTATACTGAAAATGAATTAAACAGTCTCAATATGCCCATATTTATATGATATATTTTTCTCTGAGTCTATAAAGCACTTTTTATTAAGATTCCTGAAGTTTACAACTTAAGGTACAAACCCTGATGAACACCTTTTGGTATCCACACGCAAGAATCTTCCAAAAAATTAACATCAAGGTGTTTGTTTTTAGTTTTTCTGTAAATTAATTCCTCAGAGGATAATTTTATAACTGCGTCAGACTTAAATATCAAGGTCACGAAGTCAAATATCACATTACAATCTGAAAAGTCTTGTCACAAGTATATTGTATAATTGACGTGAAAAAATATGAATGCACTGTCTCTTCTAATCAAAATAATAATATGACTAATGTTAAAATATTTAAGATTTAAAGTAGGTAAAATTTCTAGACCATGGCCATGAAGTCTACGGCTTTCTGAAAGGTTTTGTCAAAGGTAACTTAAGTATAAAACATAGGTAATCAGATTTTACCCCGAAGCGGTGATTGTTTTTGTATTTTGTAAATACATTTGTAAAATTTTCTTGCTAATGAATTCTCAGGGGCTAAAAGACATGCGCAGAGACAGGTTGTAAGAATGTATTTCTAGTACCTTCCAATTTAGTGCGCAATGTGCTAATACATGTTCTTCTGGACAGTTCCAATTTAGTGCGCAATAGGCTGTTTGAAAGTATACGTATTGTGCTAATACATGTTCTACTGGACAGTTCAGACGACTAGGAAAAGCTTTGATGTCGCTTACACTCTTTGCTCTTCAATCTATAAAACGGACCTTAAAAGCTCATTTTAAGGATGATAGATAAAGATTGATACAAAAACAATCCATTCAATTTTTTTTTTACTTTTTAACAATCCCAATTTCTGTTAAGAAATATAACCTTTTGTGGCCAAATTCAGCTGTGCCTAAACGGGGTTTCAAAGTTTGTTTCCAATGGTGGTTTCAATCAAATGCTTTTTCTCTACATGTTTCAATCTTTTCTTTTCTTCATGAATATGGATTCCTGCAGGTATGCTTATGAAAATTTACTAAGATGTTTCCATTGACCACGAAAAAACTGAATGGTCATGTGGTAGGCAAATAGACAAGAGGCCCATTGGCCACATCGCTCACCTGGGTAGTTTTGACCATGCTTGTAATACCAAGTGTGACCCCACCCTACCCCAGGGGTCATAATTTGGACAATTTGAAATCAACCCTACCCCAGGATGCTTTCACATAAGTTTCAGCTTTGTTACAACGCACTTTGAAAAATTACGCACTTTGAAAAAATTTTTCAAAGTCCGTTACATTTTGGACCAAGCTAACGCACTTTGAAAAAATTAATTTTTTTTTCAAAGTGCGTTAATATCGACCATATTAACGCACTTTGAAAAAAATGTAAAGATTGATCAATATTCCTACAAATAATCGGTATGATAAATAACAGATCCTGGTTGGATACCTTTTTTATGATAAAGTCACTTCAGGACCTGAGATATTGACGTTTTGAATATTTGAGGTTTTGATAAAATAAAAGGGAAAGGGGTCTTGAAAAAAAGAGTGACGATTGTTTAAGATCATTAATTCGTTTTTTAGCTCTACTGGTCAGAGACCAGAAGAGCTTATGCGATAGTAATGCGTCCGTCGTCCGTCCGTCCGTCTGTCTGTCTGTCTGTCTGTCCGTCTGTCTGTAAACAATTTTTCAAAATGCTACTCCTCCTACAGTTTTAGTCTGATTTCAATATAACTTGGCACACAAGTAGACTACAATAAGATACATAATAATTCTGTGTATCGGTTTTTGATTTCGATGAACGGTGTTGCCGTGGTTACTAAAAATAGAAATTTCTGTAAGATTCTTTCAAAATGCTACTCCTCCTACAGTTTTAGTCTGATTTCAATATAACTTGGCACACAAGTAGACTACACTAAGATACATAATTTTGTGTATCGGTTTTTGATTTCGATGAACGGTGTTGCCGTGGTTACTAAAAATAGAAATTTCTGTGAAATTCTTTCAAAATGCTACTCCTTCTACAGTTTTAGTCTGATTTCAATATAAATTGGCACACAAGTAGACTACAATAAGATACATAATTCTGTGTATCAGTTTTTGATTTCGATGAACGGTGTTCCTTGGTTACTAAAAATAGAAATTTATGTGAAATTCTTTCAAAATGCTACTCCTTCTACAGTTTTAGTCTGATTTCAATATAACTTGGCACACAAGTAGACTACACTAAGATACATAATTCTATGTATCAGTTTTTGATTTCGATGAACGGTGTTGCCGTGGTTACTAAAAATAGAAATTTCTGTGAAATTCTTTAAAAATGCTACTCCTCCTACAGTTTTAGTCTGATTTCAGTATAACTTGGCACACAAGTAGACTACACTAAGATACACAATTCTGTGTATCAGTTTTTGATTTCGATGAACGGTGTTGCCATGATTACTAAAAATAGAAATTTCTGTGAATTTCTTTCAAAATGCTACTCCTTCTACAGTTTTAGTCTGATTTCAATATAACTTGGCACACAAGTAGACTACAATAAGATACATAATTCTGTGTATCGGTTTTTGATTTCGATGAACGATGTTGCCGTGGTTACTAAAAATAGAAATTTCTGTGAAATTCTTTCAAAATGCTACTCCTTCTACAGTTTTAGTCTGATTTCAATATCACTTGGCACACAAGTAGACTACAATAAGATACATAATTCTATATATCAGTTATTGATTTCGATGAACGGTGTTGCCGTGGTTACTAAAAATAGAAATTTCTGTGAAATTCTTTCAAAATGCTACTCCTTCTACAGTTTTAGTCTGATTTCAATATATCTTGGCACACAAGTCGACTACACTAAGATACATAATTCTGTGTATCGGTTTTTGATTTCGATGAACGGTGTTGCCGTGGCTACTAAAAATAGAAATTTCTGTGAAATTCTTTCAAAATGCTACTCCTCCTACAGTTTTAGTCTGATTTCAATATAACTTGGCACACAAGTAGACTACACTAAGATAAACAGTTCTGTGTATCAGTTTTTGATTTCGATGAACGGTGTTGCCGTGGTTACTAAAAATAGAAATTTCTGTGAAATTCTTTCAAAATGCTACTCCTTCTACAGTTTTAGTCTGATTTCAATATAACTTGGCACACAAGTAGACTACAATAAGATACATAATTCTGTGTATCAGTTTTTGATTTCGATGAACGGTGTTCCTTGGTTACTAAAAATAGAAATTTCTGTGAAATTCTTTCAAAATGCTACTCCAAATACAATTTTAGTCTGATTATAATATAAATGTGGCATGCAAGTAGACTGCACTAAGAACATAAAGAGACTTAATCAAGGATCATTATTCTATTTATTGCTGTTGAAAAGTTTCAATTTCCAACTGCTTAAGTACTTTTCTCTTCCTTTGCTATAAGTACAAACCAGTAGAGCTTCAGTCTCGACAGAGACTTCTGGTTTTTAATTGTAAAGGTGTAAAGGGGGCACTAACAGTGGACAGCATTAAGCAACTTAGAATTTATCATAATACAAGAGGCCCAAGGGCCTTGAATCGCTCTTCTGATAAATTATACAATCTATCCTAAGACCCAAGATGCATCAACTGACAAAGTTTGATGATTCTTAGCCAGTTAGTGCTGAAGATATTTAAATGTAACTATAAAATACTATAAGTAGGTCATGGTGACCTACTTTTTGATTGAAATTGACAAAGATTGATAATTCTAAGCCAATAAGAACCTGAGATATTCAAAAGT